TAACCCTCTCTGCATGAGTCGCTATTTTGTACATAAATAAATTCCTATTTCTAATATGGAACTCAAACTTAATCCCTAAAACTGCTAGCCTCATGAGCTATGGGTGACGACACACTCCCTTAGTTCACTTTTTAATACAGTCTATACTCTAACCTTATTCCGCCTCAACAGTTGCCACATTTACCTAAGAGCTTTAATTCAGAATAAAAATAATTGAATTCTGAATAAAAATGTATTCTGCTTTAAAAAGACCAATTAAACTCTTAATTCCTAATGAAAATGATTAACTGGAATTAAACTTAATTCCAGAGTCAGTGGGTGGTTTATTCCAATTTTAAAGGTGAATTAATTTATTCTTCAATCATGTAAACGTTTATTCTTCTTTAAAATAAGAATGCTCGTTGGGTCGCACTTCTGACGCAATCCGAACAATCCGACTCCACCAGTCCTCTCTTCGGACTTGCACCCGCTGCTTTTTGGATTTGCGAGCGGGATACAGGACTGGGCTGAGGTAGAGCGGCCATTGACTCAGTTTGTCTGAGTCAAACCAAGATGACGAAAAAGCCGATAGCAGCTGAAGTGTGTGTTTTCTTCCGGTAGACATAAATACATTCGTGCGGCCCCTGTCCAATCAGAACCTTTCCCAACCCCCAGACATTGAGTGGAATTAAATAAAGGCGATTTAACGTGTTTTCCACCTAAACCTCAACATTCACTATTCACTCAGTATTTATTCAAAACAATTAATTTGGAATTGAAAAACATCATGTAAACGTGGTCAGTGTAATCACATGACATTACACAACCAGTACTTGTGAAGATTACTTTATGAAGTGTAATATATACAAAACATCGTGATATCGTATCGTCAAAAGTCTCACAATAATATCGTGGGCTGTCACTATATATCGAATCACAAGTTCCTTTGCTTAAATTCATGGTTTTACAGTAGCAACAGCTTATAAACATCAGAAACTACATATCCCATGATTCATTTCAGTGCAGACAACATGAAGAAATATGTTTTTCACTTGAATTCTTGAGATTATGACAGAAATAATTCACAGCAAAATCTTATCACGGTATTGTAAAAGTTAAAAAGTGTCCTATCTACAATTATATCAGCTTCTCCAAAATAATCGCAATAAATACTGTACCGTGGGATGCATATTGTGATAATATCGTACCGAGAGATTTGGATATCGTTACATCCCTAGAAAACAAATTACGTGTACTTGTACTGCAACCTACGACCTATAACATCAACAGCTTTTGATGAAGGTTTATGATCCTCAGAGGCCACCGTACACGCTCAAATAAAGTCTATCTGCAAACCCGTCATGAGCGGCTTGCATATAACTTCTCATATTTTACATATTGTGGGCTTTTAAATCCTTAACCCACGACAGCTGATGTAGAATTACAATAGAATCCTTCGGTAAAAGGTGGGGCTAAGGCGAATTATAAAAGGAGCAAAATGTCAGTGTCGAATTGCGTTTGAGTAATTGTAGCCTATGAGAGTTTCGGATGACTGACGGTTAAGGCTAATGAGAGAGGGGAGCGGGACGGTGAGAGACATCCCATAATTATCACCTCAAATCAAGAAAATTCACAAGACAGAAAGTGAAAAAACAAGACAAAATGACATACGGAAGTTGTTATCTGATTCTTGAGATGATGGGAGGGTGGGGGACTGTAAGGGTGTCTGATTATACAAGCAAGAGTTGGCAGTTAAGTGACAGTTTCAAAGTCTGTAGGTAGAAAATCAACATTCCCAATTTTATACGCAATGCAAAACATTTAGAAAAATACAGTTAAAGTGGCTGTAACGGATTTTTTGGGGATGTAGTTGAGCAAAATCTGTTTTTTCCCAGTACAGATATATTGTATAAAGTTGTATGGTAGAAATGAGGCTGCTGTGGGCTGTTTGAATCGAATTATAACAGGTTTTGTTGTCCGAGAATCAGGAAATGCACTGTTAGCATGCTGGTTATTCTTAGCATTACTTTAGGATCTGAAAGTTGTAATGAAAATTAGGAATATGTTTGGACTAGGGTTGGAAAATAATGGAAATTTTGCATTATGTGATAAGGCTGTAGTTTTTTGACTCAATAATTTCTGCTATAACAAAACAAATCAAATACATACTTTAATTTACTTGTGAAATTAAAATAAATAACATCCCAAAAATTTGAGCAGATATTATCACTGGGTTTTTTATCAGCTAAATGTATTATTATGATGAATTGGAAGGAACGTAAACATACGTGTTTTGACATAGACAATTGGTACAAAGACTTTTTGGATTTAATTTCAAATACCGTATTTTCCGCACTATAGGGCGCTCTGGATTATAATACGGAGTTTAAACGAAACACAACAGTTTGATGAATCTGTGCATTATTCGTTCATTCATTTTTCAATATAAAACCAAAAATAAAAAAACGACAAAACAACTATTTTCTTCATTATTTGTCTCAAAGACCAAAATGAAAAAACAAATAATGAATTATTTTTTTCAGTTTTCAATTTTGTGTTTAAATGAAAAATGGAAAAAACGGATAACGGGACGTTTCCCGTTTACTTGACTTCCGTGACTGTGATGCCGAACTTTTGCGCCGCATATAGACAGAACCAGGACTGATCCAGGTCCGGGACCACACCGGGACCAAAGCACGACTGAGACCGGGACCAGGCTGGGACCAGAGCCAGACTGAGACTGAGACCAGACCGGGACTGAGACCAAGACCAGGCCAGGATCAGACCGGGACCAGACCGGAAGCTCGAAACTGAGGCTCGGACCCTGCGGAGGCTCGGAGTCAAAGCTCGGACTCCGCTCTGGTCCTGGTCTGGTTCTGGTCTGTTCCCGGAACTGGATCAGTCCTGGTTCAGTCTGTATGCAGCGCAAAAGTCCAACATCGCAGTCAAGGAAGTCACGTAAATGGGAAACAGCTGTAATCCGTTTTTTCCATTCTTCATTTAAACACAAAATCAAAACTGAAAAAATGAATTGTTATCAGTTTTTTCATTTTGGTTTTGGAGACAAATAATGAAGAAAACAGTTGTTTTTTCATGTTCTTATTTTTTGTTTTATATTAAAAAATGAATGAATGAATGATACACGGATTTAGATGGCTCAGTGGGACTTTGTTTGGCGTGTTCACAGTGACTCAGTTGTTCAGTTGTGTCTAGAAGTGGCACATTGCACTCGCTTTTTTGGTTTGTTCCTCCGTTCCATTTCTCGTCCACTTGGAGTGATGAGTGTGACTGTGGGTGTGTTTCGCTGTGCGGTCATTGTCTGCTCTGTGTGTGTTTGCGTGTGCTGCAGGTGGTGCAGCTTTGTAGTTTACTGAAGTCCTGCTGTGACACCCGAGTGGATTCATGTATAGGGCGCTCTGGATTGCGGGGCAGTATGGTGCAGAATATACGGTCCACTGTCGGCCCATGTACTGTGGCAAAATCCCATTTGGACAGAGCACAGTAGTAGTAGACAATAGAATTATATACTGTTGGACATCATGAAAATGTATGTATATGTATGTGTGTATATGTGTGTACTGTACATGTAAGTGTCTTTTGGCGTGGCCCAAAAAAAACCAAACAAAAGATATAAGGGAACAGATAATACGTAAATACACACATCCAAACACTGCATTTAGAAATTGTACAACACACAACCCCCCACCCAAGGCCCTTTTTTTTCTTCTTCTTTCTTCGTCTCTTCTTTTTATTTATTTATTGTTCTTTTGTTGTTGTGTCTTTTTTTCTCTCTCTCTCTCTCTTTGTATGTGTTAATCTTATATTTTGTTATGTTTATTTTGTTATTAATATGTTGGGTATCCATTCTCTCAAATATTATAAATTATAAATAAGTACATAATGGAGACAAAATCAGGAGGCAAATTTTGGACTTAAAATCATAATAAAATCAGCTTTATTTAACATATCCTTTAAAAAAAAAACATTTTCATCAGCTGGAGAGCCTTGATATTATTGCAATATACTGATTGTGCTGCAATATCGATTATTGCGTCATTCAGTATCGCAAAATCGATACTTTTGCGATGCATTGTGCAGCCCTAATTTGTACCACTGCAAACTGTTACAAATGAACATAGTAAAATTCAAGTACGGCGACTTTAAAACACTGCTGGCATTTCCATCTCTGTGTCACTACCACCACAGTCTTGGCACTAGAAGAATGGAAGAAGAAGAAGAAGAAGAAGAGGGAAAAAAAAAAGATCTTGTGACATCTAAAGGTGTGTTTCTATGGCGACTGAGCGGCATCTTTCATCGCACACGGGCATTTTGATGCACAGTGGCCTCCAAGTCCGGCACATGCAGTCCCGAGGGGGAGGTAAAAACGTGTGTGTACGTGTGCGCGTGCATGTGTGTGTGTGAGGGCGGAGGAGGTAAGAGGGTAGGGGGGGTCTAATCCTTCAGATGAAATTGAAACCTTTCTCGTTCCAGGAAATACAAGTCCGGCACCATATGAAACGCTAGCTCGGATTTTCCCCATTGATCAGAAGGTATTAAAACTATAACAGTGATCTGCTGGCAATTGATTACAGGTCACATGAAGCCTAACGCAGATTGAATAACCATAAAAAAGTCAATAGCTCAAATATTGGTTTCCCGGCGAACTTCAACGGCGCTCTGTACCGATGATTGAGGGCCGTCTTAACAGCTGGGATTTGTATCAAGTCCATTACAGAAATGAGAAAAGCTGTCATTTAGGGACATATCCGTTTACACAGTGAAACTACTCCGAAACGCCACTTTGTATTAGCGCCGTGAATGCGGACGGCCTCTAAATGTCAAAGTGGTCTCGCTGTTAGCCTGTTCAAAGAGTTCATCGCATTGTGGACAGAAATGTTAACAAATTCAGCAGTTTGGGCCATTATAAGCGCGTGTAGCTGTAGTGACAATAGTGACCCGGTCGTTTAATATTGAGCAGGATTCAGATTGGGCACAAAGGAGGAGAGCCATTATGTACTTACCCTAATGAGACCTCTGTACCTGCGGCGCTCCTCTGTGTCGCTTGATTGAACGGGCAAAGGGTGTAGGTGTATCTGTGGAGAACAAAGAAAAGCAATGTACAGATTTTTAAAAAAACATTTGGATCTTTGAGGATGGGTTTACGAGAGAACAACAGCACAAGATGAATAATGAGGGAAGTACAACCTGGTTTAAAAGTTCTACATTACACAACAGGTGTGTCAAAAATGTTGTTCCCTTCTCTAAAAAATACCTGGAGTTGTGTTTTGTTTCATTTGCAATAATTGAGTAATCCTGTGTTATTAGTCTGTATATAACGGCAAAGCTCAAAATGCTCAGTTCCACCTCGTGATGTCATGTGTAATTTTCAAGTTACCAGCTTAAAAAACAACTATTCTTCATTATTTGTCTCCAAAACCAAAATGAAAAAATGGATAATGATTTGTTTTTTCAGTTTTTCGATTTTGTGTTTAAATGAATAATGGAAAAAAAAAAGATAATGGCTATTTCCTGTTTTTGTGACTTAAACTGAGATGCCGGACTTTTGTGCCACATATGGACTGAACTAGGACTGAACCCTGGACTAAAACAGGACTAAAACAGAACTAAACCAGGTCTAAACCAGGTCTAAACCAGGTCTAAACTAGGATTAAACCAGTCACAGTCCTGATCTCAGTCTAGTTCTGGTCCTGGTCTCAGTCCCGGTCTGGCCCCAGTCTGGTCTCGGTCTGGTCCTAGTCTCAGTCTGGTCCCGGTCTCAGTCCTAATCTCAGTCCTGATCTTGGCCCGGTCTGGTCCCGGTCTGGTCCCAGTCTCTGTCCTGATCACCTGAAAGTCTACACGGACGCACCTCTGGGCCCGTCCCTACACTTAGTCCTGGTTCAGTCCTGGTTTTGTCCTGGTTTAGACCTGGTTTAGTCCTGGTTCATTTAAACACAAAATCAAAAACTCAAAAAACGTTATCCCTTTTTTAATTTAAAGTTTTGGAGACAAATAATAAAGAATTTTATTTATTTTTTTCTTATTTTTGGCTTTATTTTGAAAAGGAATGAACAAACGATACACGGATTATTTGTGATGAGAAAACATTTGGATATGTATAGGCACTTTAAAGGTGCACTATGTAACTTTTCTGCTACTGCTTTGCCAAGAATGTTTCACAACAAGTCATTATCAGGCTTATTGAATTACACTTTTTTTTTAAATGATCAATAATGTAAATATAAATTCAAATTAAGTAGCAAAAATAGCAAGAGACAGGTGTCAAATAATGCATAATAATAGATGGCAAAAATGAAATATAGACAGAGTGTATATTTAAGTCAAGTCAAAACTAAACCAGGACTAGGAAGAGAACTAAACCAGGTCTACATCATGACTAAACCAAACAAAGACTGCACTACAATGGATCATTCTACTTGTTCATGGAAAACATGGCCAAACTTGCTGAGGTATTCCAGATGAGTATTACTTCTCTCTCCTCAAATTTCAGACTAGATTTTATGGCAAATTCTGACTTGTTTCAATATTTGGAGAATAAACATATTTCATGTAAGACAAATTGTTAAAGACTTACACATTTTTGGCACGTTGCAAAAACAAACTGTAGCCTCAACCAAAATATTGCACTCAAGCTACTAGTTGTATAAATATCAATAATCTCAAATCCAAGATGGCCACAGTTTTTTTTTTTTCCTTCCCCCCACTAGAAAAAGACAATTTTAATTTCACACATTGTTGCCTTCATAAACAGGGCACGGCTGATTGCGTTCATATACCCTCAGATGTACCTCATTTGCATTGACCTTTGTGTTATCTTTAGTGAATCATTTGTCCATAAGCATCGTCTTTTCATTCGACCTCACAATTCCAGCAGGCTAATTGAAAATAGTGAGTGCCCCAGTACAGATCTATTGTATAAGCAGCTCTTGAGGTCAAAGTATGTCTGCTGCGTGATTATATACCACTCTAATTATTAAAAAAAATGTTGCTGTCTGGTAATCAGGAAGTGTGAATAAGCATGTTGTTATTGTCATGGCAAAACTCCGAACTTGTCTCAGAGAATTGTGAAAAACTCTTTAAACTCATCACGGTGAATAATTAAGATGCTCAGAGGAGGAATAACGACAATAGATGAGTTGGTAGAGTTTTCGTCCTCTAAGCTGAAGGTCGGAGGTGTGATTTCAGCTTCCAAACATGTATATTGCTGTTGTGTCCTTGGGCAAGACGCTTAACCCACCTCGCCCCGTGTCTGTGTACACTGGTGTATGAACAGTGTTGGGAGTAACGTGTTATAAAAGTAACGAATTACTGGAGTGCATTGCTTTTTTGCAGTAATATAAGGCATTACAAGGGTTAAAACTGGTAATATTTTACTCGGTACAAATGTCAGTAAATGCATTTTTAACCTGGATTGAAGTGGTGGGTTTTTCGTTCTTCTTCATACAAATTCGCTAAAATCACTGCGATGTCAGCAGTGGTCAAACGCCATCATTACGGTTTTGAATGTCAAGGCAGGCCCGGAGGTGTGCCCGCGTAGACCGTCAGGTGACCGAGGGCGAAAAGACCGGCACAGAACTCCACACTCCATGGAGTTAATCGCAGCCAACGCTCAATCGTGCTTTGTGGACACCCTGCTCCACAGGCTCTGGGTTCTCTTAGGGCTGGTCCTAGATTCCAAGTCCTAGTCCAAGATTAGTAATGGTTTAGACCTTGTTTGGACCTGGTTTAGACCTGGTTTAGTCCTGGTTCAGTTCTGGTTCAGTTCTGGTTTGACCTGGTTTAGACCTGGTTTAGACCTGCCTGATTTAGTCCTTGTTTAGTCCTTGTTTAGTCGTGGTTTAGTCGTGGTTTAGTTCTGGTTTAGTCCTGGTTTAGACCTGGTTTAAACCTGGTTTAGTCCTGGTTCACCTGGTTTAGACCTGGTTTCGTCTTGGTTCAGTTCTGATTCAGTTCTGGTTTGACCTGGTTTAGACTTGGTTTAGTCCTTGTTTAGTCCTGGTTTATTCCTGGTTCAATCCTGGATTAGACCTGGTTTAGACCTGGTTCAATCCTGGATTAGACCTGGTTTAGACCTGGTTTAGTTGTGGTTTATTCCTGGGTTAGTCCTGGTTTAGACCTGGTTTAGTCCTGGTTCACCTGGTTTAGTCTTGGTTCAGTTCTGGTTTGACCTGGTTTAGACTTGGTTTAGTCCTGGTTTAGTCCTGGATTAGACCTGGTTTAGACCTGGTTTAGTCCTGGTTTAGTCCTGGTTCACCTGGTTTAGACCTGGTTTAGTCTTGGTTCAGTTCTGATTCAGTTCTGGTTTAGACTTGGTTTAGTCCTGGTTCAGTCCTGGATTAGATCTGGTTTAGACCTGGTTTAGTCGTGGTTTAGTCCTGGTTTAGTCCTGGTTCACCTGGTTTAGACCTGGTTTAGTCTTGGTTCAGTTCTGATTCAGTTCTGGTTTAGACCTGGTTTAGACCTGGTTTAGTCCTAGTTTAGTCCTGGTTCAGTCCTGGTTTAATATTGTAATGTAATGAATTACTTTGAAATGACAGTAACAAGTAACACATTACAGTTTTGAAGTAACTTGCCCTTCAGTGTGTGTGAATGGGAGAGTGGTTTGTTGATGTAAAGTGCTATGAGTGCTTTGAAGGTGGAAAAGTGCTTTATAAGAATTTGACCATTTTACTTTGGACCACTGCAAATAGTTTAAAATAAACTAGTTCTGTTTTTCACATATTTTTAACACAGGAAAAATCAGCTACAGCACTTTTAAACATCCAATATGAGCTTTATGCCATATTATAATGTTTTTACCTCATTGAAATCAAACCTGGAGTTGTGTTTTGTTTCATTCACACCCGTTCCACCTTGTGATGTCATGAAGAGGTCTAAGTTAACAGCTCCTTTTACCTTTATTTCAGTAGAAATTGGCAATTCCTGGACTGAAATCATCCAAGTGATTCTAGTGAAGGTGTATGGCGTTTAAAAACACAGTGGAGCACTTTCTCCAGCTAAACTCAGACAAGACAGAAGTCATAGTGTTTGGCCCACAGAAACAAAGAGACAGTGTCAACAGTCACCTCCAGTCTCGCTCTAAAACCTTCAAATCACGTTGGAAATCTAGGGGCAATAATGGATCAGACTTGAACTTTAACAGCAACATCAAATCGATAACATCTGCAGCCTTTTACCATCTAAAAAACAGCAAAAATCAAAGGTATAGTGTCTAAAGCAGACTTGGAGAGACTTATCCATCTATTTGTCTCCAATAGGTTAGACTACTACATCTTGCTGCGGGCATGTCCTGAGCTAAATACTTCCATCCCTCAGGCCTCGGACAGAAACCGCAACATCAGAGAGACACTGAGCACCCTGTTTGGCGAGCAGGTCAAAGAAATCACAGGCACTGACAACACCAACATGAATGAGGACAGTTACAGAAATGGGGATCGACTTAAACGCCTACACGTGGCAGCAAAAGCCGTCTCAGCCTCAACGCTCAGGTGATCCTGTCCCAAAAGTGAGAACCGAAGAAGTACAGCTGCCCAGAGACACCAGGTACACTCAGGCTCAGCTGCGCTCAGGATACAGTCGGTTCTTGAACTCTTACCTCAGACGGATTGACACTAAAATCACTGACACCTGTCCGGAGTGTGGCCGGACATCTCACACAACACAGCACCTCTTCACCTGCCCTCAAAGGATCTCTGGATCTCTATGTACAGACCCCACAGGAGAATTCAAGTCAACACAGAAGACGATGATGAAAGACGGCTCGAGTTACAACTACAACTACAACTACGTCCTGCTTACTGGTCTCTTCAAATGAACTGTGAGACGCTGCAGCTCAGGTCCTGACTCGAACCAGGAAGTACAAGTCCTGTGCTCAGGTCTCTGCACTGCTTCCTGTGGCTCAGAGACTTTAAAGTGACTCTGCTTGTGTACAAATCCCTCCATGGCCTAGCACCTAACAGGACTGAAACAGGACTAAAGCATGACTAAACCAGGACTAAAACAGGACTAAAACAGGGACTAAACCGGGACTAAAACAGGACTAAAACAGGACTGAAACAGGACTAAAGCATGA